GGCCGGCCCCGGGGGCAGGAGGGCCGTGCAGTGCCCCAGCAGCAGGTCCCACACGGCGATGGCTCCCGAGGTCAGCACAGCGGCGGCAGAGGCGTCCTTCACGTCACCCTCCAGGTACCTGGGGGCGGACACACGAGGGTCACAAGGCTGCGGTTTGTTTGTGAAAACACAATCACATCATTTTTTTCAAAATTATCTGGTTCTTAAAGTAGAAAATTAATAAGCAAATTTAAGCCAAGCGCAGGAAGCCAGGGTATGTTGTGTTGTATCTTCAGTGCGACTGAGAACAAAGGATCTCAAGACCATCCTTCCGCAGCCTCGGCACGTGCTTGAAAAGTGTCCAGCAAGCCAAGATCTCACTCCACTACTATTTGTGCAGATCCATCATCACGTTTCCTATGTAAGCACGTTTCAAGACCGAGTCTCAAACAGCTTAGTCTTCAAAACGCAAGGCATCGGAAGGAAAAGGTCACCCGGCTGCAAACAGCTGCTTCACGTAAACAAACCTGGCCAGGGGCTCTGCAACGGCTCTGGACGGCTCATCCCAGGGGGTTTCGCCCGGGGAGTTTGCCCCATGAGCCCCGTTACAGCATTTCCACAATCACTTTGTGGGGGAGAAAGACAAAAGTGTCTAGCATGCAGAAATCACCGTTTGTCAGTGGGGCTCTGGCAAGCGGAGCCCCTGGCCGCATGCTGGCACCGGGAGCACAGAGGTTAGCGCACAGACTGGCACAGGAAGCAGGCAGGAAACAGCCACCACCCTCGCCCCGTCCCAGCCTACGCACAGGACACCCGGCAGCGACAGATGCAGCCTCCTTATCACCGGCGAGATGGCAAATGGACCCCTGCCAGCAGCGCTGCTCAGCTCCTTACGTGATCCTCCCCCAAAACAGCCTCGAAGGAGCCGCGAACCAGCGCTCAGCCCCAAGGTACTTGCCTGCCAGCGTGCCCAGGCGGGAGGGAGGAGAACATCACCCCAGTGCTCCTGGCTGTTTTGGGGTTGAACGCTACCACCCGGAACGCAGGGTTTCCACAGGACTCGCTCTCTTTGGCGTGTGGATGACTTAAAACAACAAACAGAAGGCCCTGATAGACAGAGGGAAAATCCATCACTAAAAACAACAGCGAGAGGGGAAAGAACCCAAAGAATTTTCCAAAAATTAATTGCTACATTCCCTCTATAATCAAAGCCCCAAGGACAGTGATGTATTATTTTTACTGAATAAAATAGAGATGGTTTACTTTCCTTATCAAATTAGATAAAAACCAAAGCAGCTGCTGACCGATAAGGGCTGACGCAATGCAGCACAACGACAGCTCGGTGACCCAATGGATTTATGCGCTTATCTTTCTGCCTGAAAAAGCTAAACTTGCTGTAGGATGAGGTGATAGTTAAAACTATAGTTTTAGATAGTAAAATTTCTGGGCCTCATTTTAACCCCTAGGAGCTTAAAATTTAACAAGAATTCCACGCAAACCAGCTCAGCTGAAAGCAGCAGCTCTCAGAACAGCCACAGGCCTGGGACAGAGATTCCGAGGAAGTCTCCAAAGAGCCTGACTCAAGCCACCCCTACTGGACAAGACATTCTTCTCCCATAGTGTTAAATGCTTATTGAAAACAAAAAATTCTTGATAAACTACAGAAAACCATCCAGAATCACAGCACAGGCAGAAGCAAGCAGGAAAGACTCATTAGCAGGAACTTTGCTCATACCCTCAGGGCTGTATGGAAATAGTAACCGCAGCGTGCCCCCACCACACTGGCAGCCACCCGCCTGTGAAACGGGAGAGACGTGCCACACACCGGCACTGGGCAACGGTGCTTCTGCTTCCCACACGCAAGGTGCTGCTGCTGCTTTAGAACATGCTTTGATGCATCACTCTTTTATTAGCATACGGCAGAAAGCCCAGGATTCCAGGTGGCTGCTGCGGCTTATTTCTCCTGGTTAACCTAAACACAGCCGAGATCTCAGTCCACCCTCGGAACCCTAATCCTCCAAGTGCTCCCCCCAGTCAGTCAGGGCAGTCCATGCAGCAACTCCACGTCACGCTGCACGTACGTACAGAGTCGGAGTACGCTCGGTGGCAGATCGAAGCCGGGTAGGAATAACCAACGTGCATCTTCTTCAGCAGCTGGCCTGTTTTCAGATTCCTGCAGGTGGTGAAAAGACAAACTCTGAATGCAGTTCCATCCTCTATCTGTTATTTTCTAACCACAGCTAATCACCACTATGCAAGACCAACACAGTTGTGGTTTCACATGAACCAAACGAAGAGAAGAGGCCACAGGAAGAGCTGCAATGACCACAATGCCAGAGCAGGTGTCATTCTAGCAGCACAACTCACTCACAGCTGCCCAGCTGCACAGAAATTCAAGCACCAGACTGCAGGCCCTTGGACAATTAGCATTTCGCTTGCAAATCAGGTGGCGATGAACACCCCTGTACAACGGCGGTTACAGCCACCACTTACACCTGCGAGCTGAGTTGTTCAACTGCAGAGGAAACACTGACCAAACGACAATGCCGTTCACTGCAGTGGTGCCAACCAAGGCGTCTCGCATTCCTTCCACTTCAGCAAAAGCCAAAACCGTTTCTTCAGGGGGCATCAGCGTCTGCGGGTCCTTGCTCCTGAACAGCAGATCAGCAGGTGAGAAAAGGCAGACAAAATAAGCGTGTGTTCTGTACTCAGCGCATCTCCAGAAAGGAGACAAACTCAACACTTTTCTACATCTGAGGTGTTCCTCATCCACCTGCCACGCTGAGAACCCCCAAAACCAGCAGACTCACCTTCCTGTCTCTGAAAGCAATACTATTTCCACTTGCTGCTCTTGCGCGGTCCTGCTGCTGCTGACCAGCCTCCCGCCCTTCAGCCCAAGAACAGCTTTTATATTTCCAGTCTTTACTAGGGATTGCTTGAATGAGTCATTCTCAGAAGAATAAAGCAAGAGCCTAAATTAAGAGAAAAGGATGCACAATGACAGAAGGAGGCAGCACTCAAACAGCATAGAAAAATAAGCGTATGTTCAAACAGTCTACCACCTCTAGGGGCGAATAAGCAAGTCTTTATAGATGATTTTTAGAAATCCCTTCCATATTTTCCAATTGTTAAAGCAAATGAGAAAGTGACACATTAGTAAGAGAGAATTTCAACCGCTACGCAAGAAGAGAGTTAAGCTGCAGCTATTCAGCCTGCAAAGTGCTAGTAAGAAATAAATACACCACCTTATTTCTCCAATCTCCAAATCTCCCAATGCTATACACACGAGATTACAGGTGTCCGGCAGAGGAACGATCTGTATTACAGGAATCTAGGACAGGAAAGCAAGAATTCAGTGTCACCCACAATGTCCCTTTGACATTATTGCCATTTTCTAGAGTGTTTCAAGTAAAAAGCTAGGGAGCAGAACTGATTTTCAGACCCGTCTGAAGAAGCACACTTAGATTAACAATCCCTGCTGATGTAAGAGACAAAAAGTGTCCCCAGGGAGCCTAAAGGGAAAAAGCACAAGTCAGCGCTGCAGCGACCATTCAGCACACACAGTATCAAATTCCAGCAGGTGACACGCGACCGTACAAGCTACTGGCCTTCCCCATCAGCAGCACAAATCGTTCTCCTCTGTTGCCCCATGGCACGAACAATTTATGCCACCTAAAGAACTTCCCTTGCACCTGAGACTGCAAGCTCCTTGGGATCTAACACACTGGAACAAGAAAGTTGCCCTAAATTCTAGAAAGAAGGATTATGCTCATACCTCTCCGAGCTGCCAAGTATAGACCTTTCCCCAGCGGTCGGACCCCAGAGGTTTCCACAGGGAGACGGAGCTCTCACAAGCCGTCACCACGCACAGCTCTCTGCAGCCAGCTGCCTCCCACCACACCGTGCCCACATCCACAGCGCAGGAACTCGAAGAATCCTGTCCAAAACAAGTTGTCAAATGTGGTACGAAAGAACTGCTACTGACTCAGCAAACAACTGTCCCATGTTATCCCACCTTTAGCTTTGACACAAGCTGCAAGCTCTCTGCTCCCAGGCCATCAAGCAGTACCGGAGTCAACTGTTCTGCTCCATCTTTTTTCTGCACAAACAAGTAAAGAATGAGGATAATTCAACTTCGAAATTTCATTCAGCACCTGCTAGAATGAGCCAGAAGCATGAATTCATTCTGCATGCAGTTGTTGGAGAGCTCTGGCAGGAGCATCTTTTTGTACTTGGATGTTTTTGAAAAACAAGAGATCCCAGACAGGTTATTTCCTGGTTTCACCTGAAAATTGTCTTTTACCACCACTTGGCATCTCTCAGCCTTCAGAGACAACTCATTCACTCAGTACTCACCCTGCATGTGAGTAATTTCATCTCCTTTACTAAATCCTAGCTGAAAAGCTTACCTTAGGCAACAGATGAAAACCAAACATTTATGAAGTCAGCTACAAGACAGCATGCAGGGCTAGAATGCAGAGAGGTATTTCCCCCGACGTCAGGTGAGACACTGGAAAAGGGGATTTGCCCACAAAACTGCTGGCTGAGTACAGGTGGCAAAGAGGCCAGCTTGTTACCTGGTCAGGAGAAGCTCTGTAGGGTCTCTGCTCTTTGCTCTCTGACTGCTGATGCTTCTCCAAGGCCACAGCCTCCTCAGAGCTATCACTGGGACCTCTCTCAGCTTCTAAAGGAAACCTTGGACCTTGTTCCTCCTCCTTTCTAGCAGATGGTGCACCACAGCTGTCCAAGTGCAGTGGGACGGCAGAGTCTCTGCATTCCCCACCATCCACGGCCTGAGCAGGTGCTCCTGGGGAGGATCGCGGGCTCGCTTGTGAGGGAGGTGCAGAGGGTGCACTGGGGCAAACCTCACTGCCTACCCATGGCAAAGCAGCTGGGGTTGCACCCACGAGAGGGAAAACAGATAAGGAAATCTGAGACTCGGGCTGAGTGGGAGCACCAGCCAAGACAGTCCCCATGGGAGTCAGGAGCAATTCACGGGTGGAAAGTTCCTTCTTGGAAGCTGAGCTTTCTAAGGGAGGTAACCTGGGCAACCCCTTTTTGAAAGGCAAAATCAAATTACTTTTGAGATTTTTTTCTTCCGGATTCATTTGTGCATCTCGTGTGTCCTGTGAAGCCCCACCGTCTCCGAACACAGTAGGAACAAAAACCTCCAGGTCATTCACAGGGGAAGATTCTAATTTCTCAAGTTTTAGTAGTCCAAATTCCTCATCCGGCAAGTGAAAGTCTTTGATACCCAGTCTGGGGGCCAGCCACTGGAGACTGCGGAAGGAGAAGGGAGAGCCGCAAGCGTCAGGGTCCATAGCAAGGAGGCCAAGAGAAGCAGGACCCTCTGAACCCGCTGGATAGCTACGTCTTCTTTTGCTGTCATCTAGACAAGGAAAAACACAAGAAAACAAGAGAAAGCATCACACCATAAAATAATCGGCAACTAGCCTTTGCAGAATCTCTCATCCAGAGTGTCACTCTAGTCTTATTTTCCAAAAAAACAAAAGCCATATCCATCCTAACACACGGAAGCGGCGCTTTTCTGGAAAAGCATTACACTCCACAATTGCTCTGCATCAAGCCTTCGGCTAAAATATTGCCAAAAACAGCCAGAACTGACCGAGAGCTTGGTCAGTTTGTTTCGTTTGGTTTTCTCCCAACACTTTCTCTTGTCACCATACTCGCAGACCCTCATACTGCAATGCTCCTCTTTGTGTTTCACACTTGTTAGCACCAAAAAAAAAAAAAAAAATCATTAATATGCAGACTCAGTTGGAGAAACACACTGGCATGCATTTGCTGGAAAATCAGGTCCAGCGCGCACAACATTCACTCCAACACCAAAGGCAGCTTAAGAAGTTCTCAGCCCCACTCCTTATCCATGCACTGCTGTTCACTCCCTGTCACTGTGTGGAAGAGAAGTTTCTGGAATTGTTCAAAGAACACAGGGACCACAATGATATTTTTTTAAAAAAAATCTCTCTAATTAAAAAAAAAAGTTAACCCATATCAGATTTTCCTAAATAAAACAATATGGCAGGGCATGAACAGCAGTACACACCCTCACTGGGACATTTCCCTGCCTTGCTCTCAGGCTATAGTTTTTGGGAGTGCTCGTATTTGATGAAGTACCTCTTGAGACCTGCCTGGCTCTCTGTCTTGCAGAGGAACGCAGGGAGTGGCACGGAGGGACGCTAATTGCTAGGAGCTGCTCAGCCCCGCAGGCTCCTTGCACACGCTGATTCTTAACGTGCTCCACGGGATGTTTATCAGCCGGACACACAGTTAAGCTGGCTTCCAGATCCCCTAAGTGGCTGGCAAGAGTTTCATTCCCTGGGTTCAGAGAATCGCTGTTCTGAGGTGGATTTTGGACCTGTTCTAACAGAGTCTTACGGCGTTTGCCAAGCACTTGGCTTCCCCCGGGAGGAGGATCAGCACTTACTGGCTGTGTAGCGCCAGTCACTTCAGTCTCTCCAGATCCACACGCTGCAGCAGCAGAAAACCTTCTCTCAACTAAAGATGATTTTTCAAAGTTAGCCTCACAGTTTTCCTTTTCACTCTGACACTCGTTTGACAGCAGACTGCTGCTTTCCCTCGTTGTTATGAGATCCAAACTCTCTATAAGTTCCTGGGACACCTGATGCACAGGGGGTTTGCAGGTAGACTTTCTTCTTCCTTTTTGTTTCCTCTGTGATGGTCTCCGATCTCGCTTTGTGCTAGCGATACTGTTTTGAGAAATCGATCCAAGAGAAGTGCTGCTCCCACTGGACGCAGGAAGAGATTTCTGGGGACTACTTGAATTTGCTGGATCATCTTCTGCACCAAGAAAAGGGAATGGCACACCCCCTGACTCCAAATCATTTTCAGCTCTCTCTTGGGAGGGCCGATCTGAATTTGCATCTTTCTGCTTGCACTTGCTTCGCTGACTTTTCTTGCTTCTGCCCAGCTGGCTGAGAATTACAGCATCGAGGTCCACTTTCCTCTGGCAATTAGACATGCGTCGAGTTGTCCTGACGTAGTATTCAACCGGAAAGAGAAGCCCTTCAACCACCGTGCAAGAGTTCAGTGGGCTTTCAGGAGCTGTCACCTCTTCTGGATGAGAAAGTGTGGACTGAATTTCAAGCTGTTGATTCTCCAGCAGTTCTTCAACATTGCCCAGAGCAAGATCTGTAGGAAAGGGATTTAAGGTATTGGTGTCACTTTGGCTTCCTTCACGGCTTTTGCTCTCATTCGTTACAGTGTTATTTCCACCAGCAGGCAATACTTCATTTTCTGACATTAAATCCAGGAGCCTGTGTAATGCTCCCTGATCTTCACACATACCCTCACTGTCCGTTTGTTTTATCATACTGGAGGATCCTTCTCCTCCATCACCACTGGTGTCAAGTAAAACAGAGTCACCATTCTCTGAACACGGCCGTGCAGGCTCAGCGTTATCAGATGTGGCCACAGCGGCGGGGGACTCGGGCTGCCAGCCACGGCTGCTGTCCCTCAGCGCACTCGGGAACAGCTCAGGCACTCCTGGAGAGACCCTGCCTTCAGGCACGTCTTGTGCAACTCCTAACACTGCATCAGGAGGAGTTAAACTGCTTTCTTCTCTCTGCGCAAGTGCTGGTCTGGGTGCCCTTTGGGCGTTTTCCTCAGCGTTGGAGAGACTGCTTCGCCTGAAGACTGGTGAATGAAGTTCCTCTGTACTGGCTATTTGATTTTTCACCATTTCATCGGCGTTGATCGGATGCACATCACACACCGATTCCCTTTTCTCTGATACCAGAGCCTTCGTCCGTCTCCTCAGCTTCATCAAGCTTATGGAGGTTTGGGGTTTTTTCTCCTCAGGGGCAGGCCTAACAACGGTTCCACAGCCCGGGTTTTCCTGGCTAGCACGTACGCTTTCCGCCTGGGAGCTGTCCTGTGGGCTAACCTCATTATTGGAGAAGTCAGGAACGTATTTAAATGGGACAGATGTTTTCTCCTCTGTGCCAAGATCAGAGCAGGTTTTAGTCTGTAACCGAGAGGTTTCATGTTTGTCAGTGCTAGGAGATACGTTATCTCTTGAACCTGTGGGAAAAAACATTGCATGTGTAAAGCACTCCCAACAAAGTGCCATCCAAGAAAAACATCACACAGCAAAACCAGACGACTTTGTTAGGAGCGAACAAGGGGGATCTTGCTGTCGGGATCAGAGAGCACTGCAGACCTGGCGGGGAGGGAGGGAGAGGTGATGTTATTGCAGATCAGGATCCATCAGCGCTGGGAAGGCCGGATGCGGGTGTGGGGGGCCGGGGGTGCGGCAGCACCACAGAGAGGGGACAGTGTGGCTGGGAGTGAGGTGGGACAGCAGAGCTGGAGGGGGGACAGTAGAGCT